TGTTTTTGTGTGGGTTTGTTGTGGTTTGTGTGTGGGTTTTTTGTTTTGTTTTGTTTTTTACTGCAAATTGCTTTGTTACAGACGGACCCAGATATGCTTTAATGGATTTGATGAACTTCAGTTTTTAAGATCAAAAAAATATATGCGTTATTGCTTGCTTTACTATATTTCTCCTTATTTGTGATCATCAGAGTTTCTTTTCACCTTTTAGAAAACAGGCAGTACTTGAAGACTTGACAAATGCATCCCAGGTTGAAAAACTGCTGCATTCCTCCTCCTCTTCCTCCTTTAGAAAATTGACTTCTTTAAAGAGGTAAAATTGAATGTAGAATTTTTTTTTCCTAAGCAAAATCAACTAAATCTCAGCTTCTTCTGTAGCATGTCCTTTGGTGGTTTAAATTAACTTAAATCCGTGCTTCGTTTTGATGGCTGGTATCTGTTTTCCTATCTATTGAAAAGGATGTCTTTGGAAACCTTTAGTTGTGTGATGTTATCTTATAGAATGATTTCTCAGCACTTCTGCTGCAGTAAGTCCCCCAAGTGTCATTGAATTTAAATGAAAGTTATTTCTGAATTTGATGTCTTTTAGGATACTTAAACATGCTTTAGTAATCTGAGGCAGTTCCTTACCCACAGGAGTTTGTATTCTCTGAATGACTTTTATGTCAAGGGCCATGAGAGATGCTACATGTAACCCTCTTCGTACAAGGTTGTTAACAGTGAACTTGCAGCTTTCCAATATATTTTTAATATCTTATTTCATTTCATTTTCCGTTTAACAAATACCTATCTATTTTTAAATACAAAACTTTTTTCAGAAATCAAAGCAAGTACGTTCTGAGACCAGAACAAGTGATTCCAGTCATATAGTCTGGCTATTTAAAGGCCATTTGTCATAGGACTTCCGTGATGTAATTTTTATATCAAACCAGTAATTTTTGCTTGAGCCTAAATAATTTTCGGAACATATTTTAAAGAAAATTGTAGAAACAAAATGATTTACTTCATGTTTACCTGCCTTTCTCCTATAAATTTTACAATAAATTCTGCAAATAGTAGCACTTAATTTATTATTGACATTACTTGTATGAAGTTGATGAACGTAAGTGTTTATGGAATTAAAGATGATTATAGCAGTCTTCATCTTGTTATCATCTGGTTGTAGAAATGTTTCTCTTCTTTTCCCCATCTCAGGCTAAGACCATCAGAAAAAATTGTGTTGAAGGAAAAAATATTTATTAAAAAGGAGAAGGGGGGGTAGGTTTTGAAGGTGATGGGCATTTGTAATTTTTAGGAAAAATATGGTAAAGATATATGACTGTGTGACAGCTTTGTGGCATGTTATTGTTGTATAGCAGTATCAACAACAGCAGTATACCAAAGTATCTCTTAAAAAGCAGTGTCCCTTCAGGGATTTTATCTTTCTTGTTTCTGTTCAGGCAGCTGTTAACCTGCAGGTCCTGTCAAAAATAAACTTTTGATGAAACCTTAACTCAGAAGTATTTGTATGTCTAGTATGGCTTCAAACTGATCTTATATTTTACTGTCTCCTTAATTTATTCCTTTTCAGGTCATGATTCTTAGATTTCTGTCTCAAGGTTTAGGTTATAGCTTCATTTCAGTTCATAAGATTAAAATTTTCTGGGACCTTACTGACTTCCAGGCATTGCCAACCTGTACTCAGAACATGCAGAAAGACAAAATGACCTTTGTTATTTAGACCTATTTAAACATTAAGCAAAGATGTCTAATGATGCCTTGTTTACAAAAACGTTCTTGCTATTGTCTTGAGAATTAAGTTTATGCAAGTTTGAAAGATGCTAGAATATGGCTTGTGTATGAAATAGAAAATACTAACAGCAGTTGTCCTTGCAAGTTTTCTTTGTTTTATTTTTTTATTTTCGTTTCTGAGAATTCCAACATACTTTTAGAAGAGTTAAATCTTGCTGTTTGAATGAGAAACCTCCAAATTCTGCAAGGATGAGGTTTATGGAGTAAAGTTCTGTTATTAGGATTAGTAATAACTGGTTTTATGAAACTGCTTTACTACAGCAGTATCTACTGTATTTATTACTGTATCTAGAACTGTCATTATAATGTCTCATATGATTTGTTCCATGATGCTCTTTACTTTCTTTTATTTGTACTATATTTGGTAAGCGAGCAAGAATGGGATGCTGTGTTTGTCTTTAATGTACATTTGGGCCTGAAGCACTCAATCCTTCTTTTTCTTCCTCCCCCATTAATGTGCAGTACTTTCGACTGAAACTCTGAAGAGTTTAATCATTGTTAGAAAATGGGACCAGTTGTCCAAAATGCAACTTCTCCTGTTTAATGTTATACAATTCTGTTGGAAATACGTTAAAAACTTTTCATTGGGGTAGGATTTTACAAAACAAAATTTTGCTGTTAGAACTCAATTTTTTTTTTCTCTTTAAAAGGTAAGAGAAAAACAAAAGTAGTAAGAAAATGCTGGGATCAGAACGAGGTGTCGTGGAAGAATGGCTGTCAGAATTCAAGGTCAGCTGAGATGAATGATAGTTACACCATCAGCTATATGCACAGAATACTGTTTCAGTTTTTGTTTTGCTTTCTTAATATCCACTAAATAACATTTTAAGTATCTTGCTCTTTCAAGTTATGATGCATAAAGATGCATCTTTATGCATCTAAAGCATGCATAAAGGTCTGTGTAAATGAGTCAGCTGGTACATAATAACCAAGTTTATTTTTATTGTTTATTACTGTCGAGCAGAATGCTGCTGTAACTGTGGCTTTTTTAAAGCATGTATTTCTGTATAGATTAAGCTGATAGAATTTAACTAACAGCTGGATAATCTTTCCCAAATTTCTAAGAGAGCAACTTTTCTATTAAAAAAAACCAGTAAGAGTAGAAATGTTTGGAGTTTAAAAAGCAAAGAAAAATATTTGGCTGTTGTTGGGTTTTGTTAGTTTGTTTGTTTGTTTTGGGTTTTTTTATGGTCTACATAGAATTAATTATGTTTTCATGAAGAATCTAAAGTATTTTTAAGATGTCTTGCATTTTGATACTTACTCTGAGTGAAATACAGGATAATGTGTAAACAAGAAAACTATTTCATAACTGATAGGAAGTTAATCTGTTAGTTAAGTTAAGAATTAGTAACCCTTCACATCACTAGTGATACACAGTAAGTCATTACATCCTGTTGGAAATTTGCTGAGGTGCCAAGGTTGCACAATCCACAGATGTGGTTGCTTGGTGGAACTTGGGGCTGTCTATGCACATTCTAGATTATCCAGGCTTATTTGATAAAGACTTTGAAAAGTGCCTGTTAAATACAGAATATCAAGAGAGTCTGTGTATCAAGCTGGGGCTAATGGTTTTGTGAAAGATAAATCTGAACCTGCTTTTGGATTTAACTTTGAAAGTTGGTATGTGCCCCCAAGTGCTATATGCGTGGAGAAGAACTTGTGCTGAATGAACATTTACTGAACTTGTTCTTAATATTTTTCTTAATATTGGGATGAGACTAAATCCTTTTTGGAGATCTTTAATGCTTGGAAGCATTGATTTATCTGGGTAACAATATTTTTTTTTTTCTTTAGGCATTACCTGAAACACAAATTTCCAGCTATGCAGCTACATTGCACCGAAAAAAACCACTGGTACCAGCTCTTTATAAGGTCATTCAAGACCCAAATAATGAGGTAGGAGACATTAAAAAAGATTTTTGTTCACATTCTTGTATCTTCCACGTCTACAACTAAAACTAGAGTAATTGAGAAATGGAGTGGAGAGTAAGATTCTTAATTCTTCCTAAGGTAGTCCAACACAGGTATCACCCCTCTTTTTACTCTCTTATTTTTTTGACAGTTACTGTAAAGACTTTCTGGTAAGACAGAACCTCATCAGCTCCCAGAAATACAGTTTATGCTGTCTGCTACATTTTACTTGCACAGCTGACTGTTACACTTGATTTGGCTTGAGGTTTGTTTGTTTTCTCCCAGAAAACACCTTTCAGTCATAACAGAGGAAAGTAGGCCTTACAGTGAAACTCAGTAAGACCAGTGTGCTTTCACCTGGTAGCTTATTACAGTGGAAGATAGAATCAATTTATTAAATCCTATTAAAATAACCAGATCTTCTTTTGCTTATCATAGTATCATGTTTGTGTAATTTAGTTTTACACTGCTGTAAACAAGAGCAGAACCAGGGCCCCAAAATATAAATATACACCATGAAAATTTAGCTTACCCTTCTACATAATTCATTTTGCAAATGGCATTAAACTGAGCTTTCTATTCCACTGGCTTCTGCTATGAGCATTTCTGGGAAAGTGTGTGAAATATAACTTCTGAAAAAATTGTACAAGCATACCCTTCTCTGCTATGTAAACTACTTCAGATAAAATCTTCAGAATATTTTATTTATCATCTGTGATCTCCTGTATATTTATTAATTAAATGGCAAGTGTACACAGCAAGGAAGTTCTTTATTTTGCTAAGCACAGCTCAGCTGCTTTTGGAAGATGAATGCTTGATTAAGCTTAAAGGAGATTGCATAATGCTCATGCAATATAAAAAAAAAGCAAGCTTCATAGCTGTCAACTTCATTTCAGTGTTACAAATTACTTGCATAGTGACCTTTTTCTTGGTATTGAAGCCACCGTTAGTCTCTTTCCAACCTGAAGCTACCATTGCTGCTGTTGTCTTTTGGTATATATATAATTGTGTGTGTATACTTCTGAAAACATAAAAGCTTTCATTTGCTTTGAGAGTAAGCATTTGATTCATTTTCATTTTTTTAATGATGAAAAAAGCCAGATTTGCAAAAAGAGTATCTTCTTAAGGATGGGACAGTAGCCTTAAGGGTATTGCACACTGCTTGTCAAGTATTGCTCTTTGGATCTGCTGTAGTGGTTTGCGCCTGATTCTGATATCAGGTATAAGATAAGCAATCCCAGACTCACAGGTGATTAATTTCAGGTTCTGCTTGTTAAGGAATTATTTACTCGTTACACATCTTCCAAACTTACATGTGTGTAAGGAGTATAACAACAGTAAATTCACTACTTTGCATCATTCTGTGGGTGGCGATATTTTGCTCTGAGGGGTTTTTAAAATATACTTTATAGGGCATTTGTTAGAAGGATAACTGATTACTTATGAACATAAAGCTTATGTGGTAGACTATTCTAAAAATGTACTTGCTGGATTCTTAAACTTGGTGGACAAGTAATTTCTTTAGTACAACTTAATCATAAAGTTAACCAATTTTTTTAAATTTTCTGAAAGGGGCAAACACGAATTTTTCTACAATCACACAATTCTGTCTTAAGACCAGTATTATTAATTTAACATGGAACCAGAATGTTTAAGAACCAAAACAAATGACCAAGGCATTTGTCTTTTTGAACAGCTGTCTACCAGTTTGAGAACTATCAAATGAAAGCAGTCAGGTTCAATACAGTTGTTACAGTTAACCTTTTAGGAAATTCCCTGACTTTCTTGAATATGGAGAAGATAATGACTGAAACAGAAAGTTACATAAAAAGTAGAGAGTGATCTTGCTCATAAACAGCTTATTTATCTGAATAATGTATTGATTTTTGCATAACATTTGAATTTTAAAGTGAAGTGCTTTTGAAGTACTGGGTTGTTGGCTTTTTTTTTTTTTTTTCCAGATATTTAAAATTTCTGGAGTTCCTTTATGATTGTAGATGTAAATGCTCTATGGATTTTAAGTTAATGGTGTACTGTAATTTAAGCATTTAATATTCATGTGGGGCTATTTAAATTTAACTTGGCAAACCCAGTCTTGAAACAAAATGGGATTACCTTTGCAATGCCAAGCACTTCCCTGACCCAGTACTCTTCAAATAATAAGTAATTTCACCCATTATGTTATAGTTACTCCTAAAATGAGCACATTATTTTCTACTATGATTGAATTCATCAGACAGGCAAGCATTTCAAAACTTTATTGTGCATTTTATAATACATTATATTTAAGTTCAAGGGATGATTCTTAAAATGTGTCAAACTTGTAAAATAAGCCAAACTAAAGCTATTCGTCAGGGGATATGGTTGTAAGAGATGTTTTACTTGGGATTCTTTGGCTGACTGCTGTGCTACTACTCAGTTTCCTTTGACTTTGGACTGAAAGATCTCTGGGGTTAAAAAAGCGTGTGCTAGTTCATGTATACACCCACTACTGGTGACAGAAGCTCCATTTCCTCTGTTTATTCAGTATCTTCTCAATATTTATATTCAGAGAATTAATTGGATTAGGCTGGTTCTCTGAAAAGCCAGGTAACTAGGATGCAAGGAAAACATTTAGTCTCTCTTATAGTGTCAAGTTTTGTGTTGCCAGGTGGGGGAAGATAATACTATACTTTGATAAGAAAAACTTGGGTGTTTGTGCCTTTGAAAATATTTTCATTGTAGTATTTTTTTGATGGCAGCTTTTTCTTGTGGACTTAAAGGTCTGAACATACCAAAAGTGCTATAGTAGTTGCTACAAACAACTTTCAGGTTTTCATCTAAGTAATTTGCAGTTGTTAAACCTTTTGCACAACTAATATGACTACTACGAGAAATGAGGAGTATTCACATGCTTGCAGCACTAGTGACTGGATAGTGCTTGTAGCTTTCTCAGGAGCCTGGTTTCACTTAAAAGGGTATTTTTATTAAAAAATATAAAAAAAAACTTTGTTTGAAAGAAAGTAGAGTAAACTCAGTAACTGCTCTGCTTGAGTCTCATCTGACTTTAGCTAAAGTAAATTATTCTCTTCCACTGTTTTTAATGGCTGATTTCAAAAGGAAATAGCTTTGGGCTGCTGTCATCTCTAATCTAATAGAAGTACCATTTATAGCAATGCTGCTGTATATATCTGGTTTCTGGTAATATTTCTTTAGCTTTCCTTACACCTGTTATCTCCTTGCAAATATTTTTGTATCTATTATTTCCATAGATTTCTACTTTTTTATGCTAGCTTCTTGCTTATATTTTCTTTAAAAGAAAACCTACAAATGCATTCAGTGATCTGAATTATTTATTAACCTTTTTTATTATTTTTATTTGAACATCTAAAATGTGCTGGGCCTTTCATAAAACAAACATACAGTTCTGTTTCTGAGGATTTGAACATTTACAGTAACAAATGGTTTTAACAGTGTCACTTCTAGATAGGAGTTTCAACTAAGTAAGTATTAAGAAAGAACATATATATAAGCAGCTTTTGAACATAAAGTGCTATGTAGGTATGAAATACTGAAATAAATATACTAGATCAAATAATACATGCTCAACTTGATAGAGAAAGCCCTAGCATCATTTTACTAAAATGATTGCAATAAAAGATTTATGGGCTTCTAATTTCATGTAGATCCCAAAACAAAAATGAAGTGGTGAGGTATTTTACATATATGGCTTGTAAAAAATTTGTGTGCTCCAGATGACTGGACTTCTCTCATTCTGTATCAACATTGTCAGTGTCAGCTTTCTTCCCTCTATCTCATGTGGTATCTCCCGTTGCTTCACTTGTAAAAGCAGGCTTCTAGCTAAGAGTAACTAGGCTGTTAATCAGAAGCCTTGTTACACAAGGTACTTATACCCAGAGCCTTGTATAATAAGAGATTTGTCTGATAACAAAGTTTTATTCCGTGTAGATGTCATGTTACAGCTTATGTAATCAGTGGTTTAAAAATGGCATGCTTTGCTGACCAGCATACTGTGTATTCGAAAAGAAACTAATGCATTCACCCTTTCCTGGGGGATGCTCTGTTAAGGCAGCTATCTTGATAGAAAATTCTGTCAGATTGATGTTTCGTATGTGTAATATGCTAGAGCAAAATATGTAAGTCTAAATATGTGTATGTGAAGTTGTACAGTCATACAGATTTACGGCATTGCACATATACCAAGCATTGAAACTAATCACCTGCAAAAAAGTCTGCCCCTCTGCTGATAGCAAGGGACTTCTTTAAAGTGTTTTTTTCTGAGGGGATGGATGGTTCACAACAAACCACAGAAGTACATCTTCGTACGGCATAACAGAAGAGTGACGGTGAATTCTACAGGAAATTCTGGTTACTAAGATTTTGATGAATAGACAAATTTTTTTTTAATTATACATGTAATTTAATATTACCATGGTGAGGCACTGGAACAGGTTGCCCAAAGAAGTGATAAATGTTCCATCCCTGGCAGTGTTCAAGGCCAGGTTGGATGGAGTCTTGGGTGACATGGTCTAGTGTGTGGTGTCCCTGCCTATGGCAGAGGAGTTTGAATTAGATGGTCTTAAGGTCTTTTCCAACCCTAACTATTCTATGTATGTATTAGAGAGCTGCATAAAGCATATATGGTTCTAAAGAACACTTAGTTGGGATTCTGGCCTCTATTTTCTGACTATGTAATTACTATGTAATTCTTCTATATTAACATAGATGCTTTAGGTTACATGGATGCCTCCATCTTTCTGGATGCTGAATACTACC